ACAATGTTGTCCATAGCTTGTCATGATCCACACAATCGAAAGCCTTTGCGCAGTCAATAAAGCACAGGTAAACATCTTTCTGATATTCTCTGCTTTCAACCAAGATCCATCGGACATCAGCAATGATATCCCTCATTTCACGGCCTCTTCTGAATCCAGGTTGAACCTCTGGAAGTTCTCTGTCAATGTATGCTTGCAGCCGTTTCTGTATTACCTTTAGTAAAACTTTACTTGCATGGGATATCAAAGAGATTGTCCGATGATTTCCGCATTCTGTTGGGGCACCTCTCTTTGGAATGGGCACAAATATGGATCTCTTCCAACAAATCAGCCAGATAGTTGTCTTCCAAATTTCTTGGCAGAGATGAAAGAATGCCCCTAGTTTGGCCTCACTTTCTTGAATGATTTCAATTTTTATTCCATAAATTTCTGGTGCCTTGTTCTTTGCCAATTCTTTCAATACACTGTGGACTTCTTCCTTAAGTATCATTGGCTTTTGATCATATGCTACCTCTTGAAATGGTTGAACATCAATCATTTCCTTTTGGTACAGTGACTCTGTGTATTCCTTCCATCTTCTTTTGATGCTTTCTGCATCATTTAATAATTTGCCCAGAGAATCCTTCAATAATGAAACTCAAGGCTTGAATTTTTTCTTCAGTTCCCCCAGCTTGAGAAATGCTGAGCATTTTCTTCCCTTTTGGTTTTCTGACTACAGATCTTTGCACATTTTGTTGTAATATTTGACTTTGTCTTCTCAAGTTGACCTTTGAAATTTTCTGTTCAGCTCTTAGACTTCCTTATTTCTTCCATTTGCTTTAGCATCTCTATGCTGGAAAGCAAATTTCAGTGTCTCTTCTCACATCGATTTTGATCTTTTCCTTCTTTCTTGTCTTCTTAAAGACTTTTTGCTTTCTTCCTGTATCATGTTCTTGATGTAATCCTACAACTCCTCTGGTCTTTGGTCTTTAGTGTTTAATGTATCAAACCTATTCTTCAGATGAGCTCTACATTCAGGTGGGATCTTTTCAAGGTCATATTTTGGCACTTGTAGTCTTGTTTTCATTTTTCTCAACTTCAGCTTGAATTTGTATTTGAACAATTGATGGTCTGTTCCACAGTCTGCCCCGGCCTTGTTTTGACTGATGATATAAAGCTTTTCCATTGTATCTTTCCACAGATGTAGTCAATTTGATTTCTATGTATTCTATCTGTGTGAGGTCCATGTGCATAGTCATCTCTTATGCTGTCTAAAGAAGGTATTTGAAATGAACAAATCATTGATTGTGCAGAATTCTATCATGCGTTCTCCTGCATCATTTCTATCACCAAGGCCATATTTTCCAGCTACTGATCCTTCCTCCTTATCCCCAGCCTTTGCATTCCAATCACCAGTAATGATCAATACCCAGAGAGCACTTGGTCACGTGCATTGCTGCCACCATGAGGACACGAGGGAGAATGAAACACTCTTCCTTGCTGCGTTTAGGAAATTAGACACAGAAATATAGGCACAACTTTTTGTTTTGTCTTCCTTTACTTCCTCTCATCTTTTTCTTCTTCTTTTCTTTTTATAGTGGGACCTGATCATTTTTCATAACAGTATAAACTTATAATGTTATCCTCTGAACAACTTCTCTGTTGAAAATCAGCAGTGGTTTCACTTTATTGTTCTTGCTACTTTATACTATTCGACCAGCTATGACTATGGAGCATTCCTTAGAACCCGGGATGGCCAGTCTTCATCTCATACTTTGGACAAGCTACGAGGAAGGGTCAGTCACTGGAGAAACATGTCATGCTTGGCAACGTGATGGTTCAGTGCAAAAGAGGAAGACCAAACAAGGTGGAATGGCACAGTGGCAGTGGCATTTGTCCCAAGCTTGAGGTTGGTGTAGGACCAGGCAGTGTTTTGTTCTCTTGTATATAAGATTTTTATCAGTAGGAACCAACTTGACGGCACTTAACAACAGCAACCACCAGTTATGACTTAGGCTCTGTCGTAGAGCTACAAAGGAAACTGTTGGGTACCTTTACAGTATTTTATAGTGACTGTGTTTTCAATTTTTGCCTATGGTTTAAGTGACCTATTCATTTAAATGGTCAAATACGCAGCAATGATTTTTAAACATCTTTCTTTGCAGACTTCATGTACCATGATTCAAAATGAAACTTAGTGTGGCTAAAGTTTCAAATCACATGGCTGATCCACTCTATGAAACCTATGGTGGTGGTGGTCTTGTGCCATGGAGTCGGTTCTGATTCAAAGTGAACCTGTACAGGGTTTCCAAAGCTGTAAATCTTTATGGGAGCAGAAAGCCTCATCTTTCTCCCACAAAACAGCTGGTAGTTTTGAACTGCTGATCCTGAGTTTAGTGGCCTGAGTCCTAACCACTATGCTACCGGAGAGTTCCTTATGAAGCATTATGCGAACCTAAAGGTCAGTGGTTCGAAACTACCAGCAGCTCCGTGGGAGAAAGATGAGGCTTTCTACTCCCGTAAAGATTTACACCCTCGGAAACCCTGTACAGGGTCGCTATGGGTCGGAACCGACTCAACGGCACTTAACAACAACAACAACAACAATGGTATAAATCTACACTGTGAACTACAGGGTTCAGGTCCACCAACCCGCCCCAGACAAAAGATTAGACTTTCAGTACTCCAAAGATTTATAGCCTCAAAAACCCTATACAGGGTCACTATGAGTAAGAACTCACTTGATGATACTTAACAACAACAGCAATGTAATAACTATTGTTGTTGTTAGGTGCCATCAAGTCAGTTCTGACTCATCGCAGCAACCCCAAATAGGATTTCCAAGGAGTGATGTTTGGTTTGAATCCCCAGCCTTGCAGTTAGCAGTCCAGGGCATGTGTGAATATATATTTATATTTGTTGTTGTTATGTGCTGTGGAGTCAGTTCCGACTCATAGCGACACTGTATAGGGTTTCCAAGGCTGTAAATCTTTATGGGAACAGAAAACCTCATATTTCTCCCATGGAACTGCTGGTAGTTTTGGACTGCTAACCATGAGATTAGCAGCCCGATTAGTAACCACTATGCTGCCAGAGCTCCTTATACATTTACATATATGTGTGTGTGTGTGCTCTAGGATAAGTACTACTGCAAGTTTGGTTTGAACTGAAAGAATGGTGGTTTGAATTCACCAGCTGCTCCTTGAAACCTTATACAGGGTTGCTATGAGTCAGAAACAACTTGTCAGCACTTAACATCAACAACAATATACATATATTTGTTGTTGTTAAGTGCCGTCGCGTCAGTTCTGACCCATATTTTTATATTTTTATAGGAGCAGAAAGTCTCATCTTTCACCTGTGAAACAGCTGGTAGTATTGAACTTCTGACCTTGAGGTTAGCAGCCCAACTCATAACCATTAAGCTACCAGAGCTACATATAATATATATATATATATATATAAACATTACACTTCAAAGTAAAGAAAGCAAAAATCCTCACAATTGGACTACATAACATTGGAGTAAATAAATTGGACTAAATAAATTATGACAAACAGATAAAACATCCAAGTTGTTAAAGATTTCATTTTGCTTAGATCCACAATCAATATTCATGGAAGCTGCCATCAAGAAATCAAATGATGTAATATATTAAGCAAATCTGCTGTAAAATACCTCTTTAAAATGTTAAAGAGCAAAGATGTCACTATGAGGACTAAGGCAAACTTGACCCAAGCCATGGTGCATTTAATCACCTCATATACATGTGAAAATTGGACAATGTATATGGAAGACTATAAAAGAATAAATGCCTTTGAATTAAGGTGTTAGCAAAGAATATAGAAAGTACCATGACTACCAGAAAAACAAACAAATCTGTGTTTGAAGAAGTATAGCCAGAATGCTCCTTAGAAACAAAGATGGTGAGACTTTATCTTGCGTACTTTGGACATGTTGTCAGGAGGGATCAGTCCCTGGAGAAGGACATCATGCTTGGTAAAGTGGAGGGTCAGTGAAAAAAAGGAAGACTCCCAATGATAGGGATTGACAGAGAAGCAGCAACAATGGGCTAAAACACAAAAATTGTGAGGCTGGTGCAGGATAAAGCAGTGTTTTGTTTGTTGTGCATAGGGTCACTAAGAGTTGGAGCCGACTGGATTGTACTTAACAACACAATGTTACAAAACATTTCTTTCACATTATTTTAAAAGAAACAAAGAAACGTCCCTTCCCCCCACAACTATCTGTATTTTTCACAGCGGACTGAAAAATCTGATGTAGCAAATGGCATCTATGTAGTTCTTCCTACTGAGTTTTACATGGACTTGATTCCATATCTTAACTTTGTTGTTGTTATTAAGTGGCATCAAGTCGGTTTCAACCCACAGCGACCCTGTATAGAGTTTCCAAGGAGCAGCTGGTGAGCTTGAGGTTCAAACTAACTTTGCAGTCCAGCGCATTAGTGCACAACACCACTCTAGGACTCAATATCTTAACTTGGTGGTGGTGGTGGTGGTGTGCTGTGGAGTCGGCTCCGACTCATAGTGACCCTGTACAGGGTTTCCGAGGCTGTAAATCTTTACGGGAGCAGAAAGCGTCATCTTTCTCCTGCGGAATAGCTGGTAGTTTCAAACTGCTGACCTTGCAACCACTAGGCTACCTGTAAAATCAATGCTTTATACTAGCATGATTGGAGGGAACTCAACTGTCAGTATTGGTAATGGCTTTGCTAGTATGTCATAACTGAAGACCTAGTATGTCATAGCTGAAGGAAATGGAGTCCTGGTGTGGCGCTGTGGGTTAATGCGCCAGACTGCAAAGCTGTTTGAACTGCAAGGGTGGCGGTTCAAGCTCACCAGCTGCTCTTCAGAAACCCTATACAAGGTCGCAATGGGTCGGAATTGACTCGATGGCATTTAACAACAACAACAAACTAGGGAAATAGTTTCCCTACCCACCTCTGGATTTCTTCATTAGAATTTAATACAGGAAAAAGAGACAAAAGGTGCAATCTTACCATTATCATTGCCTTGCTTGATTTCCTCCGCTGTTCGGTCTATTAGTACGTACAAGGACCAAACCACACAGGTGATCGCAATGACGTGGAATGTGACAGAGCAGAATATTTTCCTCCTCTCGCTCGTGGTCATCTGTAGTTTCTCCCACTGCAGTCAAAAAAGAATCACAAAAAATGGATTTTTAATTGAAACATTTTGCTATTATCTTCTTAGGCATAGTTATTAGTTGGAAAGAAAACATTAAATACTTGTAATTTCAGATAAGACCATACATTTTTAAAGTCTTCATATTTGGAAAGATATAAAGCTTAAGTTGCAAATAAATATATATGAAAATGAAAACAAATATAATCACCTTTACTCTAAATGACAAGTCATTTCTGTTTTGCCAGGTCATAGTTTCTTCATCTTTAACATGGATAACTTTAATATTCTATAACTCTTAGAAAATATTTCTTTCCAGGTGTTTACCTATTATTGTTAGTGTACTAGTCCTTGGTAATATGAGGGTGTAAAGATTTCCTTCTAAGGAGCCCCCATGGCGCAAGTAATTGATAATTGGATGCTAACACAAAAGTTGGAGGTTTGAACCTAGCTAGCTGCTCTGTGGAAGTAAGGCTTGGCATCATGAGTGTAACCATGTTTGACAGCTGTGAGTTTGGCCTCTGTTTTTTAAGAGTACAGGGTTGTAAGTCAAAATCCGTAACACTTTCCTTTGGGATCAATATATAACCTGATATAATATGGCATTCTTCATTGTGTGCATTTGACAAGTACTTAAATGGCTGCAAGGTAACTGGGAAAGAAAGTAAACTTCTGTTTATAACTCTTTGTCTAGAAAAACAAGTTTTATCATTTAGCTAACATGGCAGGCATGCACTAATCAGTCCAGATTTGTTGCTGCCACCAGGATTGTAACTCCTATCTTAACCACTGTTCCTTAATCATACGCCTCACAAAGTTTAGGGCAGTTCTTTTAGTCTGGGAAGGGACGAGTTGGCCACCATTTTTTATATTAATAAGTTCAAGTTTATTGCAGGAAATGTCTCCATTATTTAAAGTAATAAATTCTCAACGGAAAAAAGTTACAATAATTTATTTTAGTTTTATTGTTGAAAACACAACAAAACATACACCAATTTAACAAGCTCTACATCTACAATTCAGTGCCATTGATCACATTCTTCAAATGTGCAATCATTCTCACCATCCTTTTCCTAATGCATGGTGAGTTCAATATTCTTCGCCAACACCATAGTTCAAATACATCAGTTCTTCTTTGGTTTTTCCCTATTCACTGTCCAGCTTTCACATGCATATGATACAATTCAACATACTGTGGCATGGCACAGGGCAACCTTAGTCTTCAAAGTGACATCTTTGTTCTTTAACAGATTTTGTTCAACAGTCATTTGATTTCTTGATTGTTGCTTCCATGAGGATTGATGTGGATCCTAGTGAAATGAAATCCTTGAAAACTTTACTCCTTTCTGATTATCATCATATAGTTCATTGGTCCAGTTGTGAGGATTTTTGTTTCCTTTGCAATGAATTGCAATCCATACTGAAGACTGTATTCTTTGTTCTTTATCAGGAAATGCTTCAAGTCCTCTTTGCTTATGGCAAATAAGGTTGTGCCATCTGCATATCACAGGTTGTTAATGAGCCTTCCTCTAATCCTGATGCCATGTCCTTCTTCATATAGCCTAACTTCTCAAATTATTTGTTCAGCATACAGATGGAATCACAACAGTTGACTGCTTTTGTATAAGCAATAAAACACAAACATTTCCAGGTATTTTCTGCTTTCAGTCAAGATCCATCTGACTTCAGCAATGATACATGTTTTTCCATGTTTTCTTCTGAATCTGGCTTGTATTTCTGTCAGCTTCCTGTTCATGTACTGCTACAACTATATTTGAATTTTCTTAAGCAAAATTTTACCTGCGTGTGATATTAAAGATATTGTTTGACCATTCCACATTACATTGAGTCATCTTTCTTTGGACTGAGTGCAAATATGGATCTCTCCAATTGGTTGGCCAGGTAACTGTCTTCCAAATTCCTTGTCACATACAAATGAGTTCCCCTAGTGCTTCATGAGTTTGTTGAAATATTTTAATTGGTATTTTTGTCAATTCCTGGAACATAGTTTTTCACTAATGCCTTCAGTGCAACTTTTGCTTCCTCCTTTAATACCCTCGGTTCAAGATTCATATCTTAAAATGGTTGAATATTGACCAGTTCTTTGTGATACACGGATTGTGTATTCTTTCCATCTTCTTTTGATGTTTTTTCATTGTTCATTATTATGCCTGGAGAACTCTTCAATGTTGTGACTTGAGGCTTAAATTTTTCTTTAGTTCTTTCAGCTACAGAAATGAAGAGCATGTTCTTCCCTTTTGGATTTCTAATTCCAAGTCTCCGTGCATTTCGTTCATTATAACAGTTTGTCTACTTGAGCTGCCCTTTGGAATTTTTTGTTTAGCTCATTTACATCATTTCTTCCCTTTACTTTAGTAAGAGCATGTTTTAGAGTCTCTTTTGACTTCACGTTGGTCTTTTCTTAATATCCACTCTTTTAATGACCTTTTGCTTTTTTCATGTTTGATGTTCTTGATGTCATATCACAACTCATCTGATCTTCAGTTATTAGTATTTAGTGCATCAAATCTGTTCTTTAAATTCAGGTGGAATATCCTCAAGGTTGTACTTTTGCTCTCATGACCCATTTAGTTTTCTTCAGTGTCAGGTTGAACTTGTATTTAAGTCTGTATTTAGTTTGTTCCACAGTTGGCTTTGGTTTTGTACTGACTGATGGTCAATTTTCACGTTGTTTGTTGATGCGTATCTGAATAGTATTTGCATTAACTGGTCTTCCTTGTTGTTGCTGTTGTTAAGTGTCGTCGAGTAGGTTTTGACCCGTAGTGACCCTGTATAAGGTTTCTGAGGAGCAGCTAGTGAGTCTGAACTGCTGACCTTATGGTTCAAAGTGACTTTGGAGCCCAGCACTTTGACCCACAGCACCACACCAGGACTCTGATTTTCCTTGCTGGCATATAGATATTATACAATCTCAGATAGATATTATACTTCAAGATATATATTGAAAAGTTCCTTTTCATAGTGAATGTGACACCGTTCTTCCTGAATTTATCATTCTTGGCATATTAAATCACGTTTTGTTGTTGTTGTTGTTAAGTGCCATTGAGTCGGTTTCGACCCATAGCGACCCTGTACAGGGTTTCCGAGGGTGTAAATCTTTATGGGAGTAGAAAGCCTCATCTTTCTCCCGCGGAGCTGCTGGTAGTTTCGAACCACTGACCTTAAGGTTCGCAGCCCGATTCGTAACCACTATGCTACCAGAGTTGTTAGGTGCCATCAAGTAAGTTAAAACTATCAGTGACCTTAGGCAATAGAACAAAACACTGCCCAGTCTGGCACCACCCTCACAATTGCTGTTATGCTGAGCTCATTGCTGCTGCCACAGTGCCAGTCCATCTTGTTGGGGGTCTTCTATTTCTTGTTGATCCTCCACTTTACCAAGAATGATGTCCTTCTCCATGAACTGGTCCCTTCTGATAATATATCCAAAGTATGAGATGAAGTCTTACCATCCTGGCCTGCAAGGGACATGCTAGTTGTACTTCTTACAACACAGATTTGTTTGTACTTCTGGCTGTTTATGGTACTTTTAATATTCTTCCCCCTTACCATAGCTCAAATGTATCAATTTTTCTACGGTCTTCCTTATTCTTTGTCCAACTTCCACATGCATATGCAGTTACTGAAAACATCATGACTTGGGTCAGGTGTACTTCAGTCCTCAAAGTGACAGCTTTCCTCTTGAGCACTTTGAAGAGTTCTTGTGCAGCACATTTGACTAATGCAATACATCGTTTGATTTTTTGACGGCTGCTTGCATGAGTATTGATAGTGGATCCAAGCAAAATGAAGTCTTGGAAATGTCAATCTTTTCTCCATTTATCATGATGTTATTTATTGGTCCAATAGTGAGGATTTTTTATTTCTTTACATTAGGGTGCACCTTATACCAAAGGCTGTGGTCTTTGATTTTCATCAATAAATATTTTAAGTCCTCTTCACTTTCAGTAAGCAAGGCTGTATCATTTGCACATTGTAAGTTGTTGATGAGTTGTCCTTCAATCCTGATGACTCATTCCTATTCATATACTCCAGCTTCTCAGATTATTTGCTCAGCATACAGATTGAATAAATATTGGCACACACTTGCCTGATTTTAAACAATTCATTGTCATTTTGTTCTGTTTGAACCACTGCCTCTTGTTCTTTGTACAAGCTCCTCATAAGCACAATTAAGTGTTCCAAAATACCCAGTTCCCACAATGTTGTCCGTACCTTGTCATGATCAACACAGTCAAATTTTTTGCAAAGTCAATCTTCAGGCACTACATCAGACAATGTTTGTCTAGTATTCATAAGGATTTCAGAGGCTAACACTCAGAAGTGGACCACATCCTAGTCTGTTCTTTTTCTGGAAGCTCTGATGAAACCTGTCTATGATAGGCTATCTTGCTGGTATCCAAAATTTCAGCATTACAACAAAACGCAAGACACCACTGTAGGACAAACTGACAGACATAGGGGTTTGAAGATTAAGATTCTATAACTTCATTTATGTTGTTGTTGTTGCTAAGTGCCATTGAGTTGGTTCTGACTTTCAGTGATCCTGTATAAGGTTTCCAAGGAGCATCTTGAGTTTGAACAGCCAACCTTATAGTTCAAACCAACCTGGTGTCTTATCCTATAAAACCACACCAGAACTCCATAACTTCATTTATAAGATAGCTTAAAGTCTGACACTGATGCTGCAGAGAACTTCTTATATGTTTTAGAAGAAAAAAAGAGTTTTATTTACAAACACAATTAGTTCAACTAGTCTTAGTAACTAGTCATAATACACATAGTTTGGCTTATAGGAATCTGTTTAGAGTGAATTAACACACTATACTTCACCTTGGTTTTCCCTCCTCCCTTTCATCGAATTATATTTTATGCATTATTCTAAGTAAACATTGAAGAAATCTTAGCCGTATGATTTGCAAATAAACATGTTTCAATTTAGATGCTAGTTTGAATAAATCAATACTGAATTTAGGAGATTT